GAAATATTTATGTGATTTTTGCGGTTAACAAATTTAACACAATGTCAATGAATGTTATTAAATTGATTGCTGATTGATTAACATCCAGTGGCAAATATTTCAAGCATGTCCAGGACAACTCATTTATTTAAAAGAAGTAAGAACACATGAAAACAATGGGAAGCTATATAATACATGTCACAAATAGAAAAAAAATATACACAATGTAGCCTACACATGATGATAAAATGGTATCTGCATAAACTCAGTGTGCAATTTAAACACTTTCATGCTTGCTTTTGGGCAAGTTTTTTTCTTTTTTGCTAAATATTGCTGAAAGATGTGTAATTTAGGATTTCAGCTAATTTTCATGACAGTCACTCTGAAATCATTGACTACCTACATTGTATATGCAATTTTAAGAGTACAATGCACCAGTATAAATTTAAAACTACATGTAGCCTTACTTTACAATCCTGATGTTGTGTATTGATTGCGGCTCCACTTTTCTTTTACCAGGTTTGTTCCAACTACACAACTTATCTGTAACTGTCTTGGCCACTGGCAAGTCTTTGAAACCATTTGAGATAAAATCTTCAAGGGCAAACAGCAATGCAGCTATATGACTGCATGCCTCTCCTTTTCTGAAAAAGTAGTACTTTCACATTAAACTATGTCTATGTATTAACATCAATAATCTGCAGATGGGTAAACGACTGAGTGTAGTTTGATAAATGTCCAGGGGCAAATATTAAATAGATTTTCAAGACGAAATGGGTAAAATAGCAAGAACAGAAATAATTCATTCTGTTTATCAATTGAAAATTGAAACGCAGGAACACATAGATTTACATGTTAACAGTCATGACAGTTCCCAAGTTATAAATATAGCTGTAAACATGGTAAATACTAACCATGTTGACATGGTTGATATAAAATAGGTTTCAAATATAATATAAAATTGTTTCAGCGTTGATAAGAAGTGAAACTGTAAATAGCAACAATTATTGTGATTAAAAAAGGAAATTTTTGTTTGTACATGTACATGTATGTATAATTTTTGTTTCAAATGTCATAATAAATATCATATAATAAAGGACAAAACAAATCCTTGATATAGTCATGATAATTGAAAAAGACCTGCCAGTGTTTTGTACTTAACTAAATTTCAAGAAATTTAATAAAAAGTATATTTTTTTTTAAATACATACCCTGCAACACAAGAACATGCACCACCAGAAATTCCACCATCAATCATACGGAAGCATACATAGGTCTTGTAAATTCTTTGTGCCATTGATGCCAATACATCAGCCTTGACAATATAATACTCAGTCTCTGATCTATCACTTTGAAGTCGAGTTTTTAGTAATTTCTGCACATAGCCCTCTTCAAAAAACTTGTATGCTTTCAGGGATTTGTAAGCACGCAAACTGTCCTTGTCAAACGTTTTACTTGTGCTTTCACACAAATAAACCTTTAATTTTGCATGGTCAAAATCAGGTATATCGTTTAGATTTTTGTCCCATGTACACTGCAAACTTTCGAACCATGTACGTGAGAACCGATTTGACATCCTTGATGGGGAAGTAAAAAATTAGTTCTGAGACTGACATTGTTAAAAGTCTGTAAAACTCCGTCCTGTAATATCTGTTTAATGTCATTTAATAGAACTGACAGTAGTCCGAATACCTTCATGATGCCTACACACTCGTTAGTTGTCACTGTCTCTTTACCTGTAAAGTGTAATACACAGTGACACAGGTCGTGTGTACATTTACAATACATCAGGAATCGATTGATTGCTCCGGTCGTTAAGGTCGTTAGCCCCCAGTCTCATTAATCGTCCTTAATTAACGCGAGATTTTAAATTAAGCACTACGGCGATCGCCTGATCATGGCAGATAAGTCGCTTATGTGAAACTAGTCTATTGGTCATGATCTATCAGCTCTGAAATTTTCAGACGAATCGAACAACCCATTGTTGGGTTGCTGCCACAGAATTGGTAGTTTTAACAAAATTTTGCAGTTTTTTGTTATAATTTTGAATATTATTATAGATATATATAAACTGTAAACAGCAATAATGTTCAGCAAAGTAAGATTTACAAAAAAGTTAATATGACCATAATTGTCAATTGACCCCTTAAGGAGTTATTGCCCTTTAAAGACAATTTTACACAATTTGTTCATCAAGTTTAACTAACATTTAAAAATCTTCTCCTCTGAAACTACTGGGCCAATTACCTTCAAACTTTAACTAAATGTTCCTTAGGGTATCTTGTTTATAAATTGTATCCAAAGTTTGTATCCATCGACAAACATGGCCGCCATGGCTAAAAATAGAACATAAGGGTCAAATGCAGTTTTTGGCTTATATCTCAAAAACTAAATCTTTTAGAGCAAATGTTACAGGGTAAAATTGTTTAATTGGTTAAGATCTATCGGCCCTGAAATTATCAGACGAATCGAACAACCCATTGTTGGGTTGCTGCCACCGAATTGGTAGTTTTAACAAAATTTTGCAGTTTTTTGTTATTATTTTGAATATTATTATAGATATAAATAAACTGTAAACAGCAATAATGTTCAGCAAAGTAAGATCTACAAAAAATTTAATATGACCAAAATTGTCAATTAACCCCTTAAGGAGTTATTGCCCTTTAAAGACAATTTTACACAATTTGTTCATCAAGTTTAACTAACATTTAAAAATCTTCTCCTCTGAAACTACTGGGCCAATTACCTTTAAACTTTAACTAAATGTTCCTTAGGGTATCTTGTTTATAAATTGTATCCGAAGTTTGTATCCATTGACAAACATGGCGCCATGGCTAAAAATAGAACATAAGGGTCAAATACAGTTTTTGGCTTATATCTCAAAAACTAAATCTTTTAGAGCAAATGTGACATGGGGTAAAATTGTTTAATTGGTCAAGATCTATCGGCCCTGAAATTATCAGACGAATCGAACAACCCATTGTTGGGTTGCTGCCACCGAATTGGTAGTTATAACAAAATTTTGCAGTTTTTTGTTATTATTTGGAATATATTATTGATATATATAAACTGTAAGCAGCAATAATGTTCAGCAAAGTAAGATCTACAAAAAAGTTAATAGGACCAAAATTGTCAATTGACCCCTTAAGGAGTTATTGCCCTTTAAAGACAATTTTACTCAATTTGTTCATCAAGTTTGCTAACATTTAAAAATATTCTCCTCTGAAATACAGGTGAGCGATTCAGGCTCTTGAGAGCCTCTTGTTATTATTACTCTGTGTCCTAAAGCATGCACAGTGTAGCTTGTTATCCCCCCTTTTTATTATGACTCTTGTGTTCTGAAGCATGCACAGTGTAGTTTGTTATCCCCCCTTTTTATTATGACTCTTGTGTTCTGAAGCATGCACAGTGTAGCTTGTTATCCTCACTTTTAATTATGACTCTTGTGTTCTGAAGCATGCACAGTGTAGCTTGTTATCCCCCCTTTTTATTATGACTCTTGTGTTCTGAAGCATGCACAGTGTAGTTTGTTATCCCCCCTTTTTATTATGGCTCTGTGTTCTGAAGCATGCACAGTGTAGCTTGTTATCCTCACTTTTAATTATGACTCTGTGTCCTAAAGCATGCACAGTGTAGCTTGTTATCCTCCCTTTTTATTATGACTCTTGTGTTCTGAAGCATGCACAGTGTAGCTTGTTATCCTCCGTTTTTATTATGACTCTTGTGTTCTGAAGCATGCACAGTGTAGCTTGTTATCCTCCCTTTTTATTATGACTCTTGTGTTCTGAAGCATGCACAGTGTAGCTTGTTATCCTCACTTTTAATTATGACTCTGTGTCCTAAAGCATGCACAGTGTAGCTTGTTATCCTCCCTTTTTATTATGACTCTTGTGTTCTGAAGCATGCACAGTGTAGCTTATTAACCTCCCTTTTTATTATGACTCTGTGTCCTGAAGCATGTACAGTTTAGCTTGTTGTCCTCATTTTTTATTATGGCTCTGTGTCCTGAAGCATGCACAGTGTAGCTTGTTATCCTCTCTTTTTAATTTGACTCTGTGTCCTGAAGCATGCACAGTGTAGCTTGTTATCCTCACCTTTCATTGATAAGTATAGTTTAAAAAAGAAAACGATTTCTGAATTTCCTTCATATTATCTGATTTGAATGTATGTCAGTGCTTCTGTTTACTGTTTCCCATGTAAACATATGATCACTGGATATAAGTAAAAACAAACAACACAGTGTTCCAAAGCAAAACATGATTTAACCTAAGTACAACAAAAACTAAAACTAAAGCTATTTAAGCTAAAACTTCAAACAACACCAAACCACTATGTAGCTTGACCTAAAACCAATTTAATGACATATTTAGTTTTATGTCAAATACAAAGTTGATTGGAAAATATTATAAAAATTCCTCGAAATGAATATCCTACGCTTCGACATGTATGTCATGTATGTCCTTTCAACAGTCAGTTCCCATATTTGTTGGGCAAATACAACCATATATTATAGTATAAGCAATTAGTTGAAGGTCACATATCCCTTATTTGAAGGTTCACTAGCTTTGATTAAATTTTAGTTCTCAGTGACTTATATTCAGTTAAAATGGTGTAAAGATGCATCTAGGGGAATATGACAATGACCTTAAAAACTTGAAATATCATTTCTGATGTGCTTATTAGCCAACATTTTATTTTTCAGCCTGAAGTTTTATGTTTTAAGTAATATATGAAGTTTATCAAGCCAATTTGGTGACAAGTCAGACTTTTTAATTGGAGATTGCATCTTAAAGTCACTTCCCTTTGTAATTTAGACAGCAGGAAATGGTGCACAGAAATGTTTATATGTCAGAAATAAACTTAGTTGATATTAATTAATTCAAGGACTGAGTAGTTTTATGTAAAATAAAAGCATGTATAAGATACATAGGCTCATCTTATATATCGTTCATATACAAAATTGTTAGTTTAAACAGATTGTCTAATCATATTAAGATTGTTTGTTTTCTGCTTGTTCATAGAAAAGATCCTTCTTGGATACCTGGAAAGCTGCCACCAATAGATTATTGTTATGTACGTCCACAGCATATTCCATCAGTAAACACACTGTGTCGTGAGTTTTTCTGGCCAGGAGTTGATTGTAAGTTAAGTTACTATAAATCATGTTACCATTTGTTACACATTTACCATAACGTTAGAGTAAATATGACTTCTGCAAAACTTTTTGAAATTTTTGCATTAGTAAAAGGCAACTAACTGGGGTTTGTATATATAAATTGTATGTTATACTGTCGAAGTGTCATAATTTGTAAATAAAAGTGTTATAAACTGTAAATAATGTAGGTAAAATTATGGCTTGACTGCTTTATACATGTAAAGCTCATCATTCTATGCTAAATGGACCTTGTATATTTTATGCATAGTTATATTTGGGAGGCATGAGTTTCTCCTAATCTTCACCTTTCTCTGCTTTGTATAGTTATGAAATTTTGTTTTTATATCTCTGAGATTGTTTGATGACAAATTTCTATCATGGTAGACATGAAAGATGGTGAGATTTGAGCTGTAATAGTTATACATATGAATTGTTTGAATAAAATATAAAATACTAAGTATTGAATGATATTTATCATTTAAAACTAAGAGTATATTCTTTTCATCACTTTATCTTATGTTAATTTAACAATAGATTATCTTTTTTATTGTTTTTCAGTGTCAGAGTGTCTTCAGTATCCAGATTTTAGCATTATTGCTTTATTCAGGTAAATGTTTATAAAAAAGAAAATATTTATTTGTTAATCAACTTTTTATACGACCGCAAAAAATTTGCGTTCGTATAATGCTATCATGTCGTCGTCGTCGTCGTCCGAAGACACATTTGGTGTCCGGACAATAACTTTAGTTTAAGGGAATGGATCTCTATGAAATTTTACCAGAAGGTTCAATGCCACAAAAGGAAGGTTGGGATTGATTTTGGGGGCTATGGTACCAATAGTTTAGGAATTAGGGGCCAAAAAGGGGTCAAAAACAAGCATTTTTGTAGTTTTTTGGGGGGATTTTTTTTTCATAACTTTTTGTTTTTTCTCCCAGAAATTTTCCATTTTTACATTGAATTATTTCTGATTTATATATAAAAGCAACAAATACTGACATGGCAGAAGATACACACCAAACAGGGTGTGTAAATTATTATATATAACAGATTAACTAAGTATTGTGCAACAGCACAGTATTGCACAATAGCAAGAAATCTTCAATTGAAAATAAATACATATCTTTGAACCAATTTCAATGGGATTAATTTAAAGTCTTTAATTTTTGGGGGTTCTAACCTTGTATAACTATTTTGGATATTTGGCCCCATTTTTAAATTGGTCTACATTGAGGTCCAAAGGATCCAAAATTAAACTTTGTTTTATTTCATCAAAAACTGAATTATTGCGGCTCTATGATATGATGAATCTTATTGTGCATTTAGATTTTTTATTTTGGGCCCTGTTTTCAAACTAGTCCATATTAAGGTTTGAAGGTTCCAAAATTAAACTTTGTTTGATTTCAACTAAAATTTTAAAATTTTTGGTGTTTTTTTATATGCTGAATCTAACCATGTTGTTAGATTTTGGATATCATACCATACTAGCTATATGGTAAATTAAATGTCCCATTTCAAATTTTTAAGATCTTTGACCACATTTTTTTTGTGTCAGAAACCTATATTATGTCAAAAATTTGATCACAATCCAAATTCAGACAGTATCAAGCTTGAATATTGTGTCCAAACTTGCCCCAACTGTTCAGGTTTCGACCTCAGCGGTCGTATCAGGCTGCGCTCAGCGAAGCATTTTATTAAAACTAGACTGATATAATTTTTCAGATTACTAGATTTTAACACTCCATATATGTACAGAATGGTAAAGAGAAAAAACAAAACACGTACATCTTAGCCTGAAAAGACCAAGGAACATAAAAAATAATTTTTTAAACATCAATAACAATTGAAATAAAGTTTATTATAAATTGGTGATGGCTCTGCAGACATGTGCAAATTGAACCAACTGAGAAATGCATGCTCTGTAAGATGTTTCCAGTGAAACATTATCAGTTATCAAAGAAAGAAAAATTAACAATATTTATTTTAATATTTAAATATTTTGTAGAAAGATTGTGATTGGATTTGCTTTTATGGTGCCAGATGTATCATATAATGAAGCCTATATATCCTTCATCTTCACACATCCTGAGTGGAGGGGGGCAGGGATTGCCAAGTTTATGTTGTATCATTTAATCCAGGTCTGTATCATAGTTAATGTTACAAGATATAAGGGGACACCAGTGAGTTGTTATTACTTTTTTTTGCTAATAAATTTAGTATAACTGATAATTTCAACTGATAAAAAAGAACCAGTCTTGTTGTTTTATGAAAACCTCTTTTATTTTTGATTATTGTTTGATTAATTTCCAGTGGCAAATATTTTATGCATGTTCAGACTGAGAACAGATTAATAGGATAGGAAGATTCGTCAAAGTGACTTGACGTGGATGCATGACAGGAAATCTTACCTTTACTGGAACTATAAGGTGATGCTGAATAGGGGCATAAATTTGGTTTTGCAAAAAGCCACCTACAGACCCCTGAAAGAGTTTGTTTTACTGCTCTATAGAAGATGACCATAATTCTATACCCTGATAGGATACAATATAATTTGCATAAGTTAATCGATGTTAAACTCGGTCAACTTATTGACATAGTGAATGAAACACAGCTTCAATTTCCTGCACCAATATTTTGTGAATAATATATGAAAGTTGATCATAATATTTTAAATGGAACACAGGAAATAAAATGATTTGTGATCATCAAGTTATCAAATTTTTTGGTAAAATACCTTTTATAGTCCGTAGGCAATGGGGCATAAAGTGTTACCCTTGACCCTCCGTCCTTACTTCTGTCCGTCCATCCTTCCGTTCGTCCGTCCAGTTTTCATTCTAAAGTTTTTCTCATTCAAATTTTATGAAACTTATACACAATGCTAAGAACCAAATCTCACAGACCGTTTGAATTTGTGCAGTGAGTCACAACTTGGAAAATTACAAAGCTTGGGCGGAGGCATTCGTGTCCTCAGACACATTCTTCTTTTATTTTAATATTGGGACAGTTTAAACCTGTAGGTCATGCACTTACATTCTGAAACTCATAGCACAAATAGATGTCTCATTTTTAGACCCACAGCTGTCTTTGACTTTTGGTGTCAGGTTATCTGGAATATTTCATTAGATATATGTATGTACTAGGATTGATTGATTGATTGATTGTTGCTTACTTTATGTCAGTATGTACTAGGGAGAAAAATAGTAATCCTGCTGCTTTATTGTAATATACCTTTAGGAATGTTTACAAAGTTTTGGCTCTAATCGGAATTTACCTTTTTCCAACCAAACATATTGTAATGTTTTGAATTCCTACAGCAACAATTTGTGTGTATATATTATAATGTTTTGATATACCCTTACTTACATGACACTTCATTTGAGATATTGCTATCATTTTGTATATTTTAGTACATTTATTTTACAGACGTGTATGGGTAAAGATGTTCGACTTCATGTTTCAGCAACAAACACTGCCATGTTACTCTACCAAAAATTTGGATTTAAACCAGAAGAGTTCATACTAGACTTTTATGACAAATATTATCCTGAAGACTCAAAAGAGTGTAGACATTCATTTCATCTGCGACTGAGGCGGTAGCATATGTCTACTGTAAATAACAAATATTATCCTGATGTCTCCAAAAAACTGTATACATTCATTTCATCTGCAACTGAGGCGGTAGCATATGCCTATTGTGAATAACAAATATTATCCTGATGTCTCCAAAAAAACTGTAGACATTCATTTCATCTGCAACTGAGGTGGTAGCATATGTCTACTGTAAATAACAAATATTATCCTGATGTCTCCAAAAAACTGTAGACATTCATTTCATCTGCGACTGAGGTGGTAGCATATGTCTACTGTAAATAACAAATATTATCCTGAAGACTCAAAAAACTGTAGACATTCATTTCATCCGCGACTGAGGCGGTAGCATACGTCTACTGTAAATAACAAATATTATCCTGATGTCTCCAAAAAACTGTAGACATTCATTTCATCTGCGACTGAGGTGGTAGCATATGTCTACTGTAAATAACAAATATTATCCTGATGTCTCCAAAAAACTGTAGACATTCATTTCATCTGCGACTGAGGCGGTAGCATATGTCTACTGTAAATAACAAATATTATCCTGATGTCTACAAAAAACTGTAGACATTCATTTCATCTGCGACTGAGGCGGTAGCATATGTCTATTGTGAATAACAAATAATATCCTGAAGACTCAAAAGAGTGTAGACATACATTTCGTCTGTGACTGAGTCAGTAGTATCTGTCTTTTGTTAAAGATGCAAGTATATAACACCAGTGATGATTTATTACAGTTGTTTTAAGTGTTTTCACTTTATAATCAATATTTTAAGGATTCTAAAGAGGGTAGCAGCATTAAAAATAACTTGGTCATACACTGAATCTATTATTGGTATATGTTCAGTAGTATTATAACCTATGATACAGATTTCAGTTCACAAAATGAAAGCCTGTGACAAACAAAGGGATCAAGTGTTGTATATTTATGAGAAAGGACAAGGTTAAAAATAATGAGCTTTAGCCTGATATGACAATATTTTCAAATTTGATAAACTGCTAATAGTTTTCAATGTACAAATACCAGCTTTAAAAGGTATATGATGTTTCATCGGCATTATTGTCAAAATTATATAGAATAGTATATTTATGAAATCTTTATTTTAAGTATACTGACAAACATTTCTTCTCCATTTCAGAAGAAAATATCAAATTAACAATTAACGTTATTGTTATTATTGAGATATGATAAAAGATACATGAAATTTTGTTGTTTGTGTTTTACCATAATTTCTTAAACTTGTTAAAAACTAACATTCTAAACACTAAATATTACTGCAGTTTACATGGCATCAAATGTGTTGCACTACTACATGAAAGTATTTACTTCTTTCCATATTTCTTTTGTTATCTGGACTAACAATGCAAACTGACTATTGCAATTACTTAATCTTTTTGTATATAAACATGTTCCACTGGTGGAGCAGGAATAACAGGGTTCAATCCTGGTTTTTATAAGGGTTGTGTAGCTCAATAGTTACATATCCTGTGATGTGTTTTGTTCACGATTATTTGTCTTTTTTTCTTTTGACTATGATGTTGTCTGTTCTTGTTAAAAAATATTTAAATGAGCTAATAAAAAATGTTGACAAGAACAGAAAACATTTTCTGTTTTCCCCCTCCCATTAACCTAAGGATCAGCTTCAAACATTGATTTTGTGAATAATCATTCAACAAGAAAAAAATACATCCAGAGCATTAAATAAGATGTGTTTTTCTGTTCTAAATCACCTGGATTATGTTTGAGCAAATAATGCTTCAATAAAAAATAAAACTTAAATTTGTTGCATCAGATGCACTTTTCTGCATTTATCTTCATGGAGAATGCTTAAATCCAAAAGCCAAATATGTATAAACAGTTGAGCTACATGACCAAAAGGACTTTTAGTAGCTTCTTAATAATTTATAAATTTATCTGGATTTCTTGTTCAACTCCTTCATATAAAGTGTGTTGCTGCTGTTGGCTAATCAAGCTATATTCATGTCTATGCTTTTATTTTGACACAATGTGCTGATCATAATTATTGCCTCTCAAACTTACAATCAGGACAATTTATAGGCTTTATTGACTGAAACGTGAAAGACTTGATTGAACTGCAATTTGTCATAGTTGCTCGCAGTTTTTTCCTCATGTTTATGTACATGTGTCCAGTCTGGTTTCATACATTTTACCCTTGTCTACGCATTTATTGCCCCTTTTAATTGTTTCTCATCTTGTTCTCTTTAAATGTAGGTTAGGGGATTCTACTAGAAAAATCTCTTTAGAGAAATGTTAAGATATTCTTCACTTCCTTACTCGAGTATGCTACGGTGTTTCGCACTTACTGAGAATTCTAATCCGTGACAAAATATCTGAATTTCCATTTAAAAGGATCCAGAAATCATATAAAAAATATTCTATCAAGCTTCCTTTAATTTGCCAGTGATACCTTATGATGTAAGATTTATACTTTTCTGTTATGTTTCTTGTGTAAGTAATACTAGTATGAAGAAATGTCTTAACATCTTTGTCCATGTAATACCAATGATAATGTATCAGTTCCATTTCTCCCTTAAGAAGATACTTTACGCATGTGTTTACATGATATGTCGTGGTAAATGATGCTGCGAATATTGTAAGGCACTGGCTACAATTACGTTGAAATGTAACAATAACAAAAAAGTTATTGTTACGTTGGACACTAATTGCCGGATTGCTAGGTGGGATTAGGAACTGATTAATTATATTAACCGTTACATTGCGTTTTTTACCGGATTTTCGAAGGAAATATAGGTTATTGATTTAGGGATGTACTGCGGGCGGACGGGCGGCTGCCAAACAGTGTCTCTTCAATAACATGAAAACGCTGTGATGATTTTTTTCAAATTTAGATATGTTGTTTCTTGTGACTAAATGACGGTCAAGTTCAATTTTCAAGATTTTAGTATTTCTCCTTTTTGAGTTATCGTCATTTTTAATATCCAAAAGTGGTATTTTTAAATATTGTTCTCTTTTTATCATATTATGACTAAGCATAGTAAATGTCTTATCTCAAAATAAAAATTGGAGAGACAGATTTATTTGAAAATTTTATATTTCCTAAATGGTGATGATTATAAGCTATATTATTAGACATTTTGAAGTTAATTACATTATTAATTATTATATAAGTAATGTTAGAGTACTATGTTAAACCATAGTTCTGTTCAAACCCTTCAAATTTGCAAGTATGATTTTCATTATTTATTAGATCTGGAAAATATCTTAGCATATGATAATCATTGGAGTGACAGATTTATTTGAAAATTTTCTGTTTCCTGATAAGATCTGTAGGACTGTATATATATAAAGTTTGAAATTTACTAGTAGGACTGTATAAATGAAGTTTTAAATTTACTGTTCATTATTAGACATTTTGTAGATAATTAAGTCTCCCTAAACCATATATATTCTTACCCCATCCCCCTTCAATTTGAGAATGTGCATTTATCTTGTAAACGGTCAAGATCCCCACCCCTAAACCATATATATTCTTGTATGGGACAATAAAACAAATCAAATGAAATATTGGGGGAGTCCCCAGGATCACCCCTACCCCCTTCTTTTTGAAAACTTGTAAATGGTCAAGATCCCCACCCCAAAACCATATATATTCTTGTATGTTACAATAAAACAAATCAAATGAAATAAAAGGCGAGTCCCCTGAGGTCACCCCCACCCCCTCCTGTTTGAGAATTTGTAAACGGTCGAGATCCCCACCTCTAAACCATATATATTGTTGTATAGGACAATAAAACAAATCAAATGAAATATAGGGGAAGTCCATGGGGGTAACCCCAACCCCCCTTCTTTTTGATAACTTATAAACGGTCAAGATCCCCACCCCGAAACCATATATATTCTTGTATGGGACAATAAAACAAATCAAATGAAATAAAGGGGAAGTCCACAGCGGTAACCCCCACCCCCTTCTTTTTGAAAACTTGTAAACAGTCGAGATCCCCAACCCTAAACCATATATATTGTTGTATGGGACAATAAAACAAATCAAATGAAATTAAGGGGAATTCCCCTGGGGTAACCCCCCACCTCCCTTCTTTTTGAAAACTTGTAAACGGTCAAGATCCCCACCCCAAAAACATATATATTCTTGTATGGGACAATAAAACAAATCAAATGAAATAAAAGGCGTGTCCCCTGGGGTCACCCCCACCCCCCTCCTGTTTAAGAACTTATAAACGGTCAAGATCCCCACCCCTAAACAATATATATTCTTGTATGGGACAAAAAAACAAATCATATTAAATAAAGGGCTAGTCCCCTGGGGATCACACCCACACACCCCTTTTGAGAACTAGTAAACGGTCGAGATTCCCACCTCTTAACCATATATATTGTTGTATAGGACAATAAAACAAATCAAATGAAATATAGGGGAAGTCCATGGGGGTAACCCCCACCCCCCTTCTTTTTGATAACTTGTAAACGGTCAAGATCCCCTCCCCGAAACCATATATATTCTTGTATGGGACAATAAAACAAATCAAATCAAATATAAGGGAAGTCCACGGCGGTAACCCCCACCCCCTTCTTTTTGAAAACTTGTAAACGGTCGAGATCCTCACCCCTAAACCATATATATTGTTGAATGGGACAATAAAACAAATCAAATGAAATTAAGGGGAATTCCCCTGGGATAACCCCCACCTCCCTTCTTTTTGAAAACTTGTAAACGGTCAAGATCCCCACCCCGAAACCATATATATTCTTGTATGGGACAATAAAACAAATCAAATGAAATAAAAGGTGTGTTCCCTGCGGTCACCCCCACCCCCCTCCTGTTTAAGAACTTATAAACGGTCAAGATTCCAAACCCTAAACCATATATATTCTTGTTTATTAAACAAAAGTTTAATTTAGGACCCTTAGTACCTTGATGTGGTATTATCTAACTAATAATGAAAATAAATACAGGTTTAGATTCAGCAATTCAAAGAACCCTATATATATTCAATTTATGTTGAAATCAAACACAGTTTAATTTTGGACCCTGATTTGGACCAACTTGAAAACTGGGCCCAAAAATCTAATATTTAAATACAGGTTTAGATTCAGCATTTGAAAGAACCCTATATATATTTAATTTAAGTTGAAATGAAACACAATTTAATTTTATCCATATATTTTCTGTGCAAAGGGAAATAACTCAAACTTGATAAATAGATATGATTATAATGAATAAAGTGATGACTAAGTTCTATAAAATTAGATATGATGTAATTTTAATGTATTTTTTCAAATTATAATCAATAATATAATAACAACAACCAGTGATGACTAAGTTCTATTAAATTAGATATGATTTAACACTCAAACATTGTTTAAATTAGCATATCAAAGAACCCAAGAATTCAATTGTTTATTAAACAAAAGTTTAAATTAGAACCCTTAGTACCTCGATGTGGTATTATCTATCTAATAATGAAAATGAATACAGGTTTAGATTCAGCAATTCAAAGAACCCTATATATATATTCAATTTATGTTGAAATCAAACACAGTTTAATTTTGGACCCTGATTTGGACCAACTTGAAAACTGGGCCCAAAATCAGAAATCTAAATATATGTTTATTAAAAGACAATATAAGCTTAGTTTTTAAAGGAGTTCATTTCATAAAAAAAGAAATATATAGCATTCAGAAAATTAGTTTTTACAGAATAACAAACAAACTTGCCACAAAATTCTACAAACAATTTACCAAAGAAAAGAAGAAAAAAATCCAAAATTTTATTTATCATTAATATAATGTCTTCAAAATCTTTAAAACTTATCAGTAACAAGAAATAATTGTAACAGAATGCTGTTATGAAGTCTCCAAAACAAAGCTCCAATAATTGGTCATTCCCATGGTCGCCTGACATTGGGCAAAGTCCAGTACAAATTGGTTTGTGATATGCATAAGTGACGCCTATGGATTGACCCTGTATGTCATTCAAATCTTCTTGAAATGACGAACAGGAATATATATGGTTGTTTAGGGTGGAGATCTCGACCCTTTACAAGTTCTCAAAAGGGGGGGCTGTGGGTGTGATCCCCATGGAACTTACCCTTTATTTCATATGATTTGTTTTTTTGTCCCATACAAGAATATATATGGTTTAGGGGTGGGGATCTTGGCCATTTATAAGTTCTTAAACAGGAGGGGGGTGGGGGTGACCCCAGG